AGTCTATGGGATGTGGTCAGACTCAGCCCGTATCTTCATTGCTGCCTTTCCCCCTCTCTCACTCACCAGTAGACCAATGTGGTCACCAGCAAGCTTACATGTGTTCCCTTTGCGTTTCAGTCATGGTGGGGGGTTTGTCCTGAAAGGACTTGATTGCTTGCCTTGATGGCTCCCTGGAGAACAACTTGCTTGTTCTTGTAGTAGCTGATCAGATTGCCATTTTGTTTTGGATTTTTTCCTGCTGGTCTTTCCATCAGGAAGTATCTTCTGTTCCTCCAGCTGCTCCAGGCTGACTTGCTGGTCCTTTCAAGCAGGAATGTCCTGCCTCAGAAGGTTCTGGATGGGGCAAAAACAGCAGTAGATAGATGAATGACAGAAATCCTGAATCTAAATATTCTCGATTCTCTATCTCGTGCTTTTCCTTTCCAGAACGAGCCAGCATTATTTATGGTCACTGTCTAGCTCTGTTTAGAAAAGCCGGGCAGGGAATTCTTTTCTCTGACACTAGTACATTTGGTTATATTGAATGGAGGCTTAGTCCTTGATTTTTGTTAATGGGTCAGATAAGGTATTTCATGGAACACTATTGTGGAACTACCTAGAGTAAATTTCCTTTATGTAGATTTCCTAATAAGTTGCAATCTATTTGAGTTCATGGCCAAGTTACTCATTTATATATGAATGAAATTGCTGATCCTATTTTGAAATTAACATACATGTTTCTCTTCTCTGTTTACATAGCTGTAAGTACCTTGACTGAATCAACTTTGAAGAATGTCCCTCAAGTTGTAAATGTGCAGGAACTAAAGAATAATCCTACAACTCCCTCTGCAACAGTGGGGTATGTTACTATTTTTTTTCCTTTCTTATTTTTTAAACCAATAAATCATTCTGTAATAGAGATGAGCTGCCAGTAGAGGGTAGCATTGTCACTGTCACAGTGCAAAATTTTTTCTGCAGAGTATAAAGGGATGTACAGCCAATCCTATGTACATAATTAAGTTTTCAGGAGATTGGCCTCTTTAGCCTGCTGCATAAATCTGTTAAAGTCTGTCTTAGTTTGCACTTTGTCATGTGTAAATTTATAAATTGCAGTTTAGTCTCTTGGTGTTCTGGAATGCAGACTTTGGAACTAGTACAGATGGCTCGATGATGATCTTGACATTGATCATCTCTGTCACTTCCTCTCTTTAGACATACTTCTTCTGGAAATTTTCTGTTGCTTTTTGTGTGAAAAAACAATCTTGTAAAAGATAACAACTCTGTGTAGAGTCCATCAACTTCTCCTGATGGACTTTTGGGGAGCCATATCATCCTTAAGGGCTAGATCATTGATACAGGGCCACATTTGTCCTTTCTTTAAATCTGTGTGCACAATTCAAGTACTGCCTCCTTCCCACTCATCTGGGCCACACAGCTTACAAAATATACCCACATCCTGTTTCATTCTTCTCAGTTTGTAGCTATGATCCATGTAGTCCAACCAACATTCTCTGTGGCCTGGGATAAAATCGAGAGACACTTCTTCAGTTGAATGAATCATGGATCATGAGGAGCATTGGTATTCAGGGAATTTTAGTGGATGCTGTCCATGATTTGTCCAGTGGCAAGAGTAGTAGCCATGGGTCTTGTGGGTTTCCCCTGCTGCCCCCAGAAAATTAGTTCTGCTCACAGTTCCATGTTCACTGCATCCAGTGGCTCTACTTAATGAGCCCACTGGCATTTTCTTTTCCCCCACATTTGTCCATTTATCAATATGCCTATTCCAGGAAATTTTTTTTTTTTTTTTGTCTCAGGGCCATCCTAACAGTCAAAAAACAAGCTTGCCCACTTTCATGTCTTGATAGTGACTTTGGGACCTTAGTGTGCCATTCAGACCAAGATGGTATTTGTGGTCATTGTGAACTCTTCAAGAGAAAGAAATGTGCATTAGAAACGTTTGGAATTTTACTCAGATTTCTTGTGTAGGGAATGCTAGAAAAATCCACCGAAAGGTGGAATATTATATAAAATGGGAAAATCCAGCTCATGGTGAAACAAATACAGTCTGGTATTTCCAAGTTTATTAACCAATATATGAGAAGCACCTCTTTTATTATTTTCTGTAACTTTTCAGTCTTGGTTTTCCTCAGTTGGTTGATCTGAGCTATCTTTGATAAGGGATTTGTTAAGAGTAATTCCATTGACTTAATAGGGTTTTTCTTTCCTTTCACCAATTTAAATTTGTTGGCACAACTTTAAAAATAATAACTATAGTAATATTTATAAATGTTTAAAAAAAAACCCAGACTTTCAATCCTTTCAAATTTAAAGTTTTTTTTTATTGCAATGTTCATGTATTTAAGATATTATGTAAAACACTGATCGTTATAGAGAAGAAAATGAAAGTTACCTTTAAGCCACCATAAATATGGAAGCATCACTATTCTTAAAGATTTTTTTCTATGAAAATTTAGCTTTTAAAGTAAATCATTCCTGCTTTGTGACTTCCCTTTTCAGCATAATCATGAAACTTCTTTAACTTTTTATGTCATTAAAAATTCTTCTAGGAGCCTACTTCCATATTTAATGTAGATTTTTTTAAAGATCTAATGTAGTTTCTACTGACATTATTTATTTGGCACCTAGATATTCATGCAAGAACTGGCACTTTGATTTGACAGACTTTTTGATGACATTGTCGGTATTTGAGTTTTCAGAGACTTTAAATTTACCAATATGGGACTACAGCTCAAAGTTCTGATCTCCTTTGACATACAGAAGAAACTCCAAGAATGAATGGATGACTTTTGTTTTCTATATATTACTCTGTATTTTTCTTGTTCAATTTGTTTCCTCAATTTTTCTTATTCAGTTGCCCTGCCTATTTGTTTGCCTGTCTTTAAAAAGTACTACAAAAAAAAAAAAAGTACTATAAAAATTCATTGTTCATTAGTAGTTTTCCTAATTTGTATCCACTATAACCATCCTGCAGCCCTGATGTGGCATATATGAAAAGCACTGGACCACAAGGTCAGTTTGAATCACAAGTTCGGCAGTTCATACTTAAAAGCCACTCCTTGGAAACCCTACAGGGTCGCTGTGAGTGGGAAATGACTATGACACTAAACAGTAACAGCAACATAACTCTCATGGAGTCCTAGTGTGACTCGATAGCATAAATACTTGGCCTATTAAACACAGAGTTGGTGGTTCAAACTCACCAACTGCTCCTTTGACACCATATGCAAGATTATTATGAGTCAGAACCGACTCAATGGCACTTGACAACAACACAAGTATCATAAATATATGTGAAGATATCTCAGAATGACTTGATTTACCAAAATATAACTGGGTCCCACTTTTTCAAGGCAGGCCCTTTAAAATACTGAAGTAGGTGAAAAGATTAATTGACTCCTTTGACAGCAATAGGATGAATATTTACCTTTGTTCAAGTTCATTAAGGGTCACTAAAGAAGAACCTAGATGCTATCTTAATGCTTCTTAATCTTAACAACGCAGTTTTATAATTGCATTTAGAGTACACGTCTCAAGAATAGGTTTGTCGTTTTGCTGTTTCATCACATAGTGAGGCAAAAGAGAAAAACATGACCTTTCTGTTTTCAAGTCAGCCTGAAATAGGGTTTGTTGTAGCATATCTTCATGTTTATCATATGTTTTCGTCTTTAATTTTTACTGTTATTTTCCCAAAGTAGACTGGTTGTTATTGGTTGAATTGTGTTCCCTCAAAGTATGTGTTGCAAATGCTAGTCTCTATGTCTTTGGTATAGGCCTTCTTTCTCAATTGTTGACTATCTCATTATCTGACATTTCACATTCACAGCAGTATTTAAAAATTTGTATGGTTATTTTGTGTTTTAATAACATATGTCTAGAAGGAACGAACACCAGCGTGCAAGGTGAGGTGACTGTGAAGGTTAAGGTAGCATTTCTACTTGGCCACACCCTGATTCTCAGTTATGTAACAGTGTTGTCATACTCCATTTTGTGATCTGATGTGATCATCCTCCATTTTTGCTTTATGCTGATTTTCACAATACAACCTGGTCTTTGGAATTTAACCATGTGGCTAAATGGAGAATGGGTTAATTTGGAAATGAGTTGTCTTTGTTATGTTAATGATGCAGGATTTGTGTAGGGTTGTTTTGAGATATAAGAAAAATTAAACAAGCAAGAGAGAGAAACAGAGTTGAGGGAAGACAGAAGCCAAGCCACATGAAGAACGCCCAGGAGCAGAAACTCTAATAAAAGACTCAAGGACATATGTGGAGACAACAGAGAGAAAATCTTCCCTTAAAGCTAGCACCCTGAATTCGGACCTAGCCTAAACTGTGAGAATATAAATTTCTGTTTGTTAAAATCACCCACTTGTGGTATTTCTATTATAGCAGCATTAGATAACTAAGACAGGATTTGGTACTAGAAGAATGGGATGCTGCTCTAACAGATCTTAAAATTTAGAAGCAGGTTTAGAAGTAGGTGATGGGTAGATGCTGGCAGAGTTTTAAGGTCGTAGTGTAGCTGTGTATAGGATAAGCACAAGATCTGTGGTTCAGACGTATCAGCCTCTCCTCGAAAACCCTATAAGGGTCATTATGGTCAGAACCAACTCAAAGACACTAAACAACAACAGAATTTTGAGTAAAATCCTAGATAGCCTTGAAGAGACTTTTGGTGGAATTATAGATATCAAAGGTGATTCTGATGAAGGCTCAAAAAGAAGTGAGGAGATCAATAGGAAAAACCTATAATATGGTTACAACAGCAGAATGGTGCTTGAAATGTAGGTGTTAAAACATGTTCTTCTGATGAGGTTTTAAAAGAAAATGATGAACATGTGATTAGACATTGGACAAAGCTATGCTTTTTATGCAATAGCAAATAATTTGTCTGAATTATCTTAAAATGTTGGGTGAATGGTAGAACTAAATTATAAGTGATGAACTTGGATATCTGGCAGAGGAGATTTCTAAGGAAGGTCTTCGAGAACAGAGATGGACTTAAAAATGAACTGTGAAAAATGAAAGCAAAATGTAAAGGATTCTGAAATGTTTGTTTTATAAACTAAGTACAAGCGTCCCAGAATGTTTACCAAGGACATGGCTAAACGGTCTTTTGTTAAAAAGATTAAGCCTATAACTGATTGATCTAACCAACTGCTACTGCAGAAAATCATCAGCTGGTGTGGCACTGTAGCATAAGCAATGGATTGCTAACCATGAGGTTGCTGGTTCAAACCCTTCAGCCACTATTCAGGGTCACTATGAGTCAGAACCAACTCGATGGCACTTTGAAACACAACAACCACCACCTGCTACAGCAGAAAATCCATCAGCTTAGATTGAAGGAGACAGAGAAAGAACAAAAGGAAGAATGTGTCTGCCTCTTGGAAGTATTGGCAGGAAGTGGGCCATAGTAGCTACATCTGATGTTGTTCTCCAAAACAGAAAAGACTCATCCCTAGAGCAGCTCAGCAATCAGCAGAATTGTTGGAAGGAGTACAGAAGGCAAGGCCTACTTGATTTCAAAGGTTGGGGCCAAGGTCTCTTGGATATTGAAGAGTGGGGCTGCAGCCACCTAGGTTTCAGAGTCAGAGCTTTGCCAACTTGGTTCTGGAGTATGGAACTGCCACTAAGGTGTACCAGAGGGATGGCCGAGGGTGCTGGGCGGCTCTGCCAAAAAGATAGAAGAAGGAGGCCTGCCAAAGCAGAGAGGGTGGACTCATCATTCAGATGAACTAGAAGGGTGGGGCTGCCCAAAGCTGAGAGAACAGAGGTGCCATCCCAGTGGATCTAGAAGACAGAGCTAAAGCTTAGGTTGAGGGGCTTCTACCCAGAA